GGGGGATTAGCTCAAATGGTAGAGCGCTCGCTTCGCATGCGAGAGGCAACGGGATCAATGCCCGTATCCTCCATTTTTTTTTCGTCTCCGACGATTTATTTAACAATCTGTGACTAACTAGGATGCAGCAATTATTCAGCTCTTTTCAGTTAAAGAAACAAGTATAGAGGAGCATACAAATGCAGCAGTTGAATACATAGGTTTGTATTTTGAGGGCAAAAGAATACGCAGTGGTGGGTTGAAATAAAAAAGAGGAGTGACTTGATGCATGTTTCTTCAATACACCAACTTTGCCTCAAACTCTGCCAATTGGCCCAACAGGCCGACGTGGGGGGAAATGCAGTGACTCCGTGCTTTGACAAAAGCATATGCTTCAATCATGGGCAGCCTGCGGCGTTTCATGACACAGGCAATAACGAGAGAAGCGCTTCTTGAGACGCCTTGGTTGCAGGCGACAAGGACGGACTTTCTGTTTGAGGGAGGAGTTGAGGAGGAGCGGGGGGTGTCGTTGGTGGTGTTTTGATGCGATGGCGGCGAGATGCCCAAGTAAAAGTCAATGATGTTGAGCATTTCGGGAAGTTCAAGAGTGATGTCGGCGCTGTGGTCCCAGTTAATTTTGAGATAATCTGGAAGGGGATGGGAAGACATGTCTGGGCAGCAAGAAGGCGAATCCAGACTTGAAGGAGAGTTTTCCAGCTTTTGCGGTGATGGTGATGGGAGAGCTTCAGAGGAGGAGGAAGAGGATGACACGTGTGAAAAATCGAGCGAGTCAGAAGGGGACAATGATGGTGTGCCGCATGGGCTCATGATCTGCAGCCAGGCCGTATCGGTACGCCGGGAAGATGTGGACCAGGTTTCAATAGTGTTTGGAGTGTTGCTGCTCTCATCCGGTGTTCGTATCCGCTCTGGAACAATGCATCCGGGATTTGCAAGGCGTGCTGAGGCATCTTGACTGGTCTCGAGCAAAGCGTTGACAACTTCGCTGGCGACGTTGATGACGATGCCGACGTTTAGTTTGTGCAGCATGGACGGGGATTCTGCGTAGGTGCGGCTGGATATGTACAGCCCCTCCGAGAGTATTTGGACTGGACCGCCCTCGCTGAAGTACGGGTCCCAGTCCGTTGGCTGCTGTTCGAGGGCGGAGTTGGGATGGGTGGACGACGGCTGCAGAGGGGACCTTCGATGGGGCGGCGGGCACTTGATGGACAGCGGCGGGCGAGGCAGGAGCGCATGAGAGGCTTGCATCTTTTGTTGTTTTAATATTTTGAATGTGATTTGAAAAAGAGCGCGGCATCTTTTAGGGTTTCTTGGCTGTCTTTGCCGTTTTTCTTGATTCGGCGCGTTTGATAAAGATAAAATGTGCACAAATATTTATTATTTATATGATTTATTTATTTATTTTATTTATATTTTTTATAAACATCGCAAAATGATGCTTGTTGTATGCTGCAAACCAAGCATAGCTGCGTCCGCATCAGCCATGCTCGCAGCAATGAATCTCTCCATCTCGAATCTGACTGCTGTCGCCGCGAGCGTCGGAGTCGCCCTTAAACTCGCGCAGGGCCAGAACGAAAATGAGACTGAGACTGACATGATCACTCGCTGCATTCTCGACACTGTCCCGATGCTGGTCACGGACAGTAAAAATGTTTCTTCAGGGACAAACTCCGGGATGAGTAAGGGCGGCGCCTCTCTTTCAAGGCCCCCACTCACCGTCTTGGCTCTTGTCCCGCTCTCTTCCACTGCTTCAAATACGAACGATGCCCGTGTGCTCTGTCGCCATTTGCAGACTGCGCTCGACTCAAGGGGCGTCGACAGGTCCCTTTTCAGGTCCATCAATATCCATCTCGTCTTTGTTGCGCTTGACTCGGGCGCTGCTTCCGCCCACGCGCATCTTCTCCAGTTATCTGACTCGGCCGCAGTAAATACGTTCAATGCAAAATTATCCAGTTCGTTTCCGCTCCCCCTTCTGGTTTCAGTGACGTCCGTCTCTCTGCCCTCATCCGTACAGTCTCTGCCCAGAGACCTTCTATCACTTGCCCGAGCGTCTTTGGGATTGCACCGCGTGTCTGTCGAATCTCCGTCAAACAATTTCGAATTTTGGTGCCATGCATTCACTGGTCTCGATCATGGCGCGTGTCTCCCAACCTCGAATTCTCTCCTCCGCTTCTCGTTGGTCAACGACCCTTCGTGCATTATACCCCCGGCATCGAAAAATACATGCGTCCATCCGGCAATATTGGTTTCTCACGTGACTGCTGTTTTGAAGGTGCAGAATTGGTGTTTCTGCCGCGGGTGTGTCGTTTCTAACATCCAACTCATCCATACTTTCCAGGATCTTTTTGACTCAAAGAAGGTAACAGAATTAGGACTGTCCTGGTTCAGCTCTGGTTCAAATGCGCCGGAAATCGCTTCGCATAAACTTGTTCTAGTTGGGACGGAATTTTCGCTTCACTGCCTGGATCCCGCCTTTCATCGCGATTCCCTGCTGCCACCATTCTTTAAAGACATAGAAACTCCTCCTTCGGATGGAAATTTGAAGCGGGAACCCTTGGATGATGATGTTCCAGTGAAGAGGGAATCGCTGCTACAAGGCGGTTGGACGCAAGAAATCCAGAGTCTACTTCCCATGCTTGCATCTGCTTACAACGGAAAAGATGCTCCCATTTTAAATGCGGACTGCTTCAACAAAATATCGGAGGTGAACTGCGTTTTTTCAACCTCTTCATCGACTCGTCGTTAATTTCAGCGTTTTTCTCAGTCCTTTCGGTTGCTTTCCTTCATCATCAAAGACAATCATGGTTCCACGCTATTCCCCTCCTTAAGTGATCCAGGCCTTCGAGATTTCCAATGCATTTCATTAGTCCAAGACATCATTTCCATCACAGACGCTCTGAAAAACCGCGATGCGTTTCATGCCAATGTGCACGGTGCGGCCGTTCAGCGGTTTGGAACACTGTTGGTTGCAAGTGCATCTTCCAATCCATCTATCCCGTCTGGAAACTCTAAGCGTCAGAAAATGGGAGCTTCATCTGTACTGAAACTTCTGGACCCATCCTTCAATGCCGACAAAGCACATATACCGAAAGAGGGCCCTCACTTGAAACGGGGACCCAAAAAGGCTGTCGCGGATCATCGAATGATACCGAGTTACTTGCAAGTGCTGCCATCTACAATGCACCGTGAAAACGCAGAGGATCTTCAAAGGCGAGCCAATCGAAGTAATTTGTGGACCCGCTGTGGGAATTCTTTGGAAGGTAGTGAGAACGTTGCTAAGAAGAATGCTGAGATGGAGGAGGTTCGGGAGCAAGGAATGAACTTGGAAGAAAGCGCGCCTACAGGAGGATATGTTCCCGGTGGAAAGCAACTGCTTCCGATGGCTTTCGATTGATGGGCTGAGTCCGAAGTGGAGAGTCCGAAATTTCTGTCATAAAAATATAATTGCAAAAAAAAAAAAAAATAAGAATCGGAAAACACCATGTACAACACCAACAGAAAGAGCGCAAAGACAGCACCGCAATCTAGCGGATCCACGCCGTCAATCTTCTCGTATTTCCACCGTGTTGCGTCTCCTATTCCAACTGCGCGTCCGACAAGCACCAAACAGGCTTCAAACATGGGCGACAGATTCCCTAAAGAAGTAAAAGTGGCCGAATCACCGGCTGCGGAAGTTACCCCATCGAATCCCCCGCCGTCAAATTCGCTCCTGGCATTGGCTTCGTCAGTGTCTAAAGCAGCGAACGAATCGCTTTCTGGATCTGCAAGTTCATCTGGATTCACATCGGCATCAGCCTTAGTGCACCTGACGACCAGAACTACGTCCGAGTCACATCAACCGCAATTTAATGTGCAGTCAACGTCAAAGCGGACCCTTCCAGCTTCATTCGATTCACATACAGATCATGCAGACCCTCCCAAGAGAACATTTAAAGCCTATAGCTCTTATTCAAAAGACTCGTCCACCTACTCTCAGTCATCTTCGTTCGACAGATTCTCTGCCGCAACACCGGGCACAGAGGCAAGGCAATCTGAAGCACTAAACTCAAAAGGCTCATTCAACGGTGCAAGTAACATACGTGAATTCAAATCTTCATCGTACGCCCCTCAATACGGCTCAGGGCAATCCCAATTCCGGTTCATGGATGAATCTTCGCAGCTTCTTGCATCAAAGTCTGCGCAGAAATCTGGGTTGGGCGTTGTGAATGAATCCGCTGTGCAATTGACCCGTGAGCAAACGGAAGTGTTGGGTTTTGTGTCGGGTGGTGAGAGCGTGTTTTACACGGGAAGTGCCGGGACGGGGAAATCAGTGCTCATGCGTGAAATTATTCGCGTACTAAAATTGAGTAAAACGCGCGATCAGATTGCGATTACTGCTCCAACAGGTTTTTTCTTCGCTCTTCTTTTTTTGTTTTTTTTTTATATATATTTCTTGCGGTGCAACTCTGTTTTCTAAGCTTCGTGTTTTTTAAGGAATTGCTGCAAGTAATATTGGAGGAACAACTCTGCATTCTTTTGCAGGATGTGGCCTTGCGAAAGGTGGGTTTTCAATATTTCGTCCCTGAATATGCTAACTCAATGTATATGGTGTCCAGAACCTGCCGAAAAGCTCATCGGTAAAATCAAATCAAATAGACAAACATTCACTCGATGGAGAACAACTCAAGTTCTGATCATTGATGAAAGTAAGGACTTTTGACACATATCCTTTTTGCCAAGCATCTCACACTTTTTAAATAGTCTCCATGGTGGATGGATACTTTTTCGACAAGCTTGAAGAAATTGCTCGAATGGTGCGTGACAGTCCGCGGCCGTTTGGGGGAATTCAGGTGAACCAAAGCAGACTCGATTACTTTGTGCAGTTTGATGTCTTAACAAACGCGCTTTCTTTTTCCAGCTCGTTATTTGCGGCGATTTCATGCAATTGCCTCCGGTCAGTAGAGGGGAGTCTCATTTTGCGTTTGAGGCAAAGTCTTGGAAAAGTTGCATGAGCCGAACGATTCTGGTACTGAAGTAGATTCGGCATTGGTCTTGATTCAAAACTTACCATCGCTTGCTCAACCCCCTCCTCCGCAA